TCAAGTAATCGTTTAAGCAACGTAAATCGTGGGTATTATGTAATGTAAGTCAACGTGTGCTCCGTCATTAGCGTCTAGTGTAGCATAGTTTTGTGCGCAAAGTGTCGGAAATGTAAAAGAAGTTTTACATTAACTATTTTTATACGAACWATTTGGGAGTGAGAAATGTTATTTATGTATGTATATAATAAATACCGTAAAATATTTGAAAATTTATGTAATATACACCGGTTCAATTACATAACTCGTTTAGACATGTTTTTAAATTTCTTAGCTTTGGTGCTTGCTGGTCTTTGAGTGGCATTAGACGCAAATGCTCAGAAAATTTGCTAAATCAAACAATATGACTAATAAATAATGTGTATGTATTTATGTACATATTTACCGCACTGCAAGGCATCGCTGTTCGTAAAATAATAAATATTAAGCTAAACATTCTAAGTGATATATTCAAAAGACATAATTGAGCTATTTTTCGAAGCATGTAGGCTGCTAAAGTAATAAAGTAATAAAAATGTATCTTTGCCAAGAAAATCAAAATATAAATATAATTATATATGTGTAAGTAATCATCATTGACGATATTATAAAGCGTTAAAGTATTTTGTACAGTTTTTTTNAAGCAGCAATTGAAGCAAAGTCTCACCAAAACCAAATCTATACAGTTAGCCCCAGCAAGCATTAAAAGAGCCAAAGCGCAACAAAAAAAAAAAAATTCAAATAAGAGCGAAAAGAAAGGAAATCAAGCGACGAATTAAAAGTCCCCCCCTTTTTGACATAAATAAAAAAATTAATAATATTAATTGTCCTATTTTAATATTTYAATTATGTTGAAAAAAGTTGTCTAACGTATTGAATTAAGTTGTAATATTTGTGCTACAGACAAATAAAAGAAGTAATCTCTCTAGCAAATAAAAGAGTTAATACTTAAAAAATATTTAAGTTAATGTATACMTATTGTTTAAGTTGGTTAACGAACGGAACTTACAACTGTATTTTATTTTAAAGAAACCCTTAATATTAAATAAAATTATTTTGTATAAAATAGAGCTTAAATCAAATAAATTTWCTCGAAAACAAATTTGTTTTATTTCTTAAGCAGGAAAAATACATATATAAAACAAAATATAATTAATTTTTCTGCTTTCTCTTTATTGGTGTARATACCGAATCTATTTCCGATCTAATCTTAAAGCCGCTAATCCTAAGCTATTCCCAACTCCAGACTCTCCCACGGAACCACCTGATTAATTATTACTTCGTGGGAGTTATAAGGCATTTAAGTCGCCTCTATGGCACTGACGRACGCCTACTCTGCTCTATACACACTTATGTCTCAGTTTCATCATGATTGAGGCTGTCGCTTCTCTGACAGCTTTCCAGATTTCAGTGAAGTAACATACAAGAGTATCGTCAAATTTTCAACCGTAAAACTACCACCAAGTGTAGTTTTAAAATTTTCCCTTGTACTTAAAAATCGAGGGCAACAAAATAATGCATGCTTAGAGTCTTGAAAGCACTCTGAATACCGGGTCCCCAAGTCGTCAGTCGACCTTCATCGTCCTTTGAGTGAAGTTTGCCACCGCAGCTGCCATATTGTTAATCTTTTGACTCTTCTCCTTTGGTTTCTAGATGGCTCTGAAAACTTGTATACTCGCTCGTATTCGTCACCCACCCTCACTGTCAATGAGCGTCATACTGACTACTACTTCAGCAGCTTCACTTGATATTTTTCGAAAAGGACTGATAACTCTTAGGGCCGATAGCCTGGGCACTGTGCTTATTTGTCTGGCAAAAGCTTTGATGCCTAGCGCCTAGATCCATCTTGGAGCCGCATACAACACAACCGACTTCCTTTCGTTATTTGAAAGTCTAGTTATACTAGAAAGTTTATGGACTTTCTGGTAAGGGGAAAAGTCAACTTGAAGTCTTCTGTTATGCCAACTATTTCATCCTGGAAGATTGAATTGTAGTAATTTAGTTTGAAGCTAGCTTTTGCGTATGTATTACAACAAGCCCGCTCCTGTTCTCCTTGAACTTGTATTGGTCGGATATCGAGGACATCGACCAGAGCTATTGTTGATGTAGTTTTCATGCCAGCAAGCAGACACCTGTTCCAGGGGATTAATAGGGCACTCTTTTAAAACGCTAACTGGTAGAGTAATCATAATTCATCAAATAATTGTGAGGAATACTGCTAGTATGTAGTTCTTGGCCTAATAAACAATCGAGYACGTTGACCTAATTGTTATGAGAAAGAACTTGTCCACCTAAATCTAAAATAATAGAAAATATAAAACAAAGAAGGTGCTAATATAAATCTACGTTCTCTGATCTAACAATAAATGACGCTCATGGACAAGAAAATACTTTAGTTTTACTTTAAATAATTTTTAAGAATATACTTTTCAACTGAAGACCAGTATAACGAAATAATATAATRAACTTTAAAACCAAAACTTTGTTGGGTATTATTAAAAATAATCGATTAGCTTGAAGAAAAGACAAAGGTAATTGAATTAAAACCCGATGTTTTAACGGTAATAAAATTTTGTAATTTGTCAGCATTATAGCAACCAACRATTTTCTCATGTGGCAACACTGGCCCTAACCTTCAAAAGGCGCGGGTATAAATTTGACAGCTGTCGGATAATGTGTTTACAATTATATGTATCATTTTGAGTGATTTTGTTATTGTGAAAAAAATGGATGAAAGGGAATTTGGCGTGTTGATAAAATATTGCTTTTTGAAGGGAAAAAATATAGATGAAGCAAAAACTTGGCTTGATGACGAGTTTCCGGACACTGCCCCAGRAAAATTAACCATCAAGGATTGGTATGCTAAGTTTAGACGTGGTGAAATGGACACCGAAGACATAGTACGCAGTGGATGCTTAAGAAAGGTTGTTACAGACGAGGATTGAGGAGCAATGAAAAGGAATAATGTACATATAGACAATACTTCAAATCAAGCCTATTGTTTGATGCAGCATTTTATTTAATAAATAAATAAAAAGTAAAGCGCATTTACAGAATTTCATGCATTTTAAAAAACGGTAATTAATTTTGAAAAATATTGGATTCCGTTGATCCTTTGGGTGATCTGCTGAACAACTTCCGGATGTGTTGTATTAATATAGTTCCCATCRAAGCTTCTTGCCGTGATCGTCACAAATCTTTGGAGATTCATTTAAAATAAAAAAAAATATTTTTTTAACAAACAGAAAGGGGGCCTCAGGCACTTTTTTAAGTTTTTCGGAAAAGGTCAAAAGTTAATGGTTTATAAATCTAAGTAAAAAAATTCTCAGATTAGGCACTAGTTTTTCATGTTTTCAAAAGTCTGCTCTTTGTGTTTCATTGAAATCTACCGGACAGGTAGCGAGGTAAAGTAGTCACATTGCATTAGAAGTTTTATGCGAACGTACCAGAGCGGCCGAGATCTCTTTGCTAATAATCGWATGACTTAAAAGTATTTGTCGGATTTATTAATTTTTTAATATTTCCAACATATTTTATGCAAAGATGTATTACACTAACCCCAGTGACATGCTCGCTGGTCATATATTGGATATGGGGGGGTCGATTATGGATAATTRGGAGTTTAACCTACTAMAGTWTCCAGAACRAAGCTKCGCAAGTGTCACTYTCGGTTCTCGTGGCAACTCGAGCTYTTCGTCTGCAGCGGGATGTGGTTTCACTCCAAAAACAGTGAGAGAGAGTCGGAAAAAGTGTTAATGACTCCACTGTGAATGGCGGTCAGTGCATGCCTAACGTTTGTTCACCCGAAGTCTTGTCGACGTATTGTTTTATGTCATCGTCGTAATAGTGGAAGGACTCCTTAATGATGTTAAGAGGTGGTCCGTTACAAGTAGGTGACTGCAGGGATAATTTCTACCAATTGGTAGGAGATGATAGAAATTCCCTCTGGTGGTTGAGGAAGTTTTGAGATGTMGGAGAGGGGGAGTACACCACTCTGCGGAACTCCCTGTTTAATTCTTTTCAGTTTAGAGTTTTTATCTCGAGACCGTACGGATGATTGGCGATCGCTCAAGTARTTCGTAGTCCACCACTTTAGCCATGGGGTCGGATAACACAACGTTTGGCTTTGTCTACCGAAAAGTGCAGTAAATTGAGGGCTAATATAGCTCGCAAACTTCACTGGATTTCAACTCGATTTCTTCGGTTTAGACATATACTTGGCAGTAGTCCAAAGTTTACTAACGCCCTTGGTGAGGTTAAAAGAATTCAGATGCTCTGTGCTGATTTATTTTTTGCCGAATCTCAAAATTGACATCCCTTATTCGGAGATTGGGTGTCACGCTTATTAGCTAAAATAGCTTCTTCGGCTGGAAAATTGGGGTGRAGTTGCGTAATTCTTCCAGCCGAGATGGAGCGATCGGTATCAGCTGCGATCACCTCGCGGAATTGATGTTCGCAACGAATACGTAGGTAGGGTTTTATTTTTTAAATATTATATTTCGAACTCGGATAGCTATACTCTGATAATCTAGGTTAGTATGAGTAGTAGATAGTATTGCTCGGTTTTGTGCAGTGTGAAGGCTAGACCTCCACCATTATCCACATTAGTAGTTAGTGCAAGGATTGTATTTGAATTTCGACAATTCCTCCGGGCTCACTCAATGTCAGCACAAGTCAGGAGTGATGTCAAGCTTAATCTAAAACTTATCGATCCAAAGAATGTTAAACCTGAATGAACAGCCTTTGATCGGATAAATGYGGGTCAACTCCGATAACGTAGAACCGGCTGATGTGGGAATTGAATCCCGCCACAGAGATCCATCGAGATCAAATTCGATAAAATTAAAACATATTGCTGCTTTSAACAAGCTGATCTATTATATTGATATACATATGAGCACTCACACAATATAAGCGAAAATATTTTTTAGTTAATTCATTCAAGTGAAATACAAAAATACTATATAAACAATTACAAATAATATGTATRGGAAGATAAAAATACAAACAAAAAAGTGCAAGTAAAACAAAATAATAAACACAAAAATAGAAAAATARTAAAATTYTGAAAATACTAAAGAAAATACGAATAATTGTGAAGCTATTTTGTTGTCTGAATACGTAAGTCAATGCAGGTCCATTTCTTCGGTAAGCAATGTTAATACCGTATTTAAACGATCTTGCCAAGCCCTTCCCCTCTCATTKTCGTCAAGAAGAGCCCTTAGCTGATTGCCCAATTCAGCACGGAATTCACTTACTCTCTCGTCGATTTTCTGCACAATCGACAAGATTTGTTTATTAAACGAACGTTGTCTAGCTGGATTTCCATCATCGAATACTGAAAATAAAATCGATGTCCCTTAAGGTGCCGAGCAATATAAAGTTAATTTAGAAATACTTGATTCGTCACTAGATGAGGTGTTTATGGACTCAGAGTCGCATACACATGCAATGTCAGGTTTCCATATATAAGTATATTGACCGGTAGTAACTTCTGAAAGAGAAAATATAAAAATGAATGTGAAAATGTTTGATCTTACTAGGCGCTCGAACTTGCCTAATGTGGCACCAACGATGTTGTCTGGAAATTGCCGCACTTTAATAGAAAAAAAAGTATTACAATGCAACAATTAAGGAGTACAGGGGCAGTCATTTATTTAATTAAAACTACCTGGTTTAAAAAATGAGTCGTTTATTTCTCTGCGTACTGGTTCCTTTGGAGGATCCATTATAACACTCTCTACGTCGATGAAGTGCTGGTGGTTTACCGGATCTGAATGTATGTACGTCGTTACAATGTTTGTACATACTTTATATTTATTTTATATGCTTATTATACTTACCTGTTGTGTAACATCTCACATTCCTAACTTCACCATTTATCTTGACCGTGGACAGAAACATGTTTGCGAATTAAGCGTGGAACAAAATTAAAAATGGACAAAACGACAAAGGTACAGAACTTGTGTTSTCTAGAAATGAAATGACGAGAAATTGGTTTGACAACAGCTTTTTTCCAACGCTTAGCTTGCGGTTTATTGTATTTGTTGGCCGARTGACATGTAGCGGTTATATTCTCATCCTATTGCCTCTATTCGTTTAGTGTACATATGTTTGCTTCGAACTGGAAGTTTTCTACACTAATAATTTATATTTACGAGAAAAAACGTTAACTTTAGTTGAACCGAAGACAATACCCCGCATTATATAAAATAATCCATTTAAAAACTTGATTTTGATCGGTAAGTTTGTATAGCAGCTATATGATATAGTAATCCGATCTGAACAATTTCTTTGGAGATTGTATCTTTGCTGTGGATAATAATCCATGTAAAATTTTGTGAAGTTATCTCGGCAAATAAAAAAGTTGCCGTACAAAGATTTAATTTTCATCGGTCAGTTTGTATGGCGGTTCTAACAAATATGCTGCTTCTTGGGAAAAAGCGACCGTGTGAAAAATTTCAGTCGCAAAATCCGTCAAATGAACAAGGAACTGAATTCAAGCTTATATTCAGAGTGAACAGGACTGGTAGGAGCAAATAGTTTCAAATCTACCGATCAGCACTAAGCGTGTCCGCTGAGTGGGCGCTTTAAGGCGAGCCGTGCGCATTTTTCCATTCATTCAACACTCACATTTACACTCAGCGGACAAGCTTGAATTGATGGCATATTGTAGTAACTAATCCTAAATACAAAAATCAGAAATTTGGGGGTGTGTTATTTTTTTTATTTTAGGTGTTAAATAAGAGTCAATGAAGCGAGATACAGATAACACACCCAGTTACAGGAAGTCCAGCAACTTTTCACACATTAAAATTGTTTGTGTTTTTTCTATAATAGTAGACCATGCGTGGTAGGCATTATTCGGTTCCCATGTCAATGATCACGTTTTCCAACACTTCGAGTACGTGATCATTCCATTCTCTTGTTCGATTGTTCGACTGATTGAGACATTCCGCTTGTTTTGTTGTAGTTCTAGTGAAATATTTCACTTTCTCTTTTATAATATTGACTTTCTTTAGTACTCGTTTATTTATCCTACGCTTTTCCGCAGCTGTTTCTTCACTGCCTATAAATATAAACAGGGCACTTAGAAATGAAAAGGAATACAACTAAAATAAATTAATAGCACCTGAWGCCTCAGAACTTATGTAATCATCGGAATTAGAAGAATCACTTTCTACATCATCTTCTTCCTCAATGGATTGCAAGAGCTTAGGGACACGTACCGGCAATTGATGTACTGGACCTGTAGAGTTACAGAATTAATAATATAATCAGAAAAAATAATAAAATTCATTAACTACGATTGCACCGAAACTATAAAACTATTCTCACATTTGCTATAAGGGTTCGAGGTCGGCGGTTTTGASAAGTAGCTCCTTTGGGAGAAAAGGACATGTACAAATTCTCGTATATACATACATACATGCATACAGCCTGACAAGACTAAATCGACTCAGCTCATCATGATCTATATATTATATATTTTATAGAGTCCCCCACGATTTTTTCTCGTTGTTAATAAGGATTACGCTGTTGCTTTGGATCATTGGTATCTTACAATTATACAGTTATATATAGTATACTCACCGCAAGGTACAATTACGGAACCCAATGGGTAACTTCGGACTTGAAAAATAAAATATATGAAATTATAATTGTTTATATTTATTATTTATATTGTAATATAATAAAAATATTAACATACCAGGGTCTAAGCAAGGATCCGTAACTTTATTCTTAAGACTTATATCGACTATCGAAGATAGTCCCCCAATAACTAGGTTATATGTTCTGCTTGACTCATCTAAATATTATATATGCATAAATGTATTTGAGTGCAAATATATGCCCATACTTACTATAAACGAACTTCTTTACTGGCACATGGTCTTCTTGAATYGCTGGTACTGCGGGAAACATTTTTTTAAATTATTACAAAAAGAATACAAGACTTTAAAATAGACGAGAACACAAACGCACAACGACTTTGGTGGTCAAAAGGCAAATGGACGATTGTAGCACGAGAGGAAAAACAGATAACTTTGCTGTGACATTCAATTCAACGGTTTTCTTACGGCTTCCTGTTATTGTTGTTGCAACTTGAACTATCTTCACACATATGCATATGTATTCTTAAAATAAATAAATGTATAGTTTAGGGAGGCATGAAAGTTTACAAACTTTACAATAAACAGAGAAATCTTCGCTTGTAACTAGTGGAAAGTCTCTAAATAGTCTTAAATTTTAATGAAATTTACTACAATTATGTTTTTTTTTTTTTGAATATATTGTTTTTGTTCCATTCATTATTTTTATAAACATATTTTTTGCGGAGACTGCAACCCTGCTGTCAACGCATTTTTCCGTTTCACTTTGTTGCAAACATCCGTAAATAATTAACTGTCAGTAACAGCTGTTCAACTGCAATTCTGAATTCCTGCATTAAAAACAAAAGTAACTATTGCGCATCTCTGGTTGCATTGTACATAATGGATCAATTTGACAGTGAAAGCTACTGGAATCGTTCGTCGAGCAGAGGGTTCAGTTTCGACGATGATGAAGATGTTCAGGGCGTTACTGCTGTTGGCAGTAATGTGAATGYCAACAATATACTTAACGACTATGACACGATCTCAGAGGCGAGCTTCGACAATAGCGCTACAGGCAGTGCTCTTAATCTATCGATACAATCTGTAATCTCTGAGGATGCATTAAAAATGCTAATCCAAGAACAAACACTTGATGACCGTATAATGTCGAAAGGCGTTGCGCCGGAAGAGGAGTTGCGTTTGCTACGCAGACAAATACAAACGACTTTTTATAATCCCTCGCCAGAAGCCACCGCGTATAAAATGTTGCTTGGCAAATGTGCGTCTTTGGAAGTATTTAAATCTATGTACGAAAAAGAGCAATTGTTAGATGCAGTGTTGAAGTGTGGCGGCGGTGATGCCGTTATTAGTGTGCTACTTTTTCTAAAAAAGACATTGAATCACAGAAATTTTCTGAAAATTCTCGAACAAAGACCGCAAGCCTTGCAAATCTATATCGGCTACCTGCAACAGCGTCAGTGCCAAGAAGCTGTCGAAGTGTTACAACACTTTGGCAAACATCAAGAAGCATCATTAATACAATTCAAATCGGCTATGACCTGTAATAATCTGCAACAGCGCAAACAAAAATTGTTGCAATTACTCGATCAATATAGCGGTGATATGGGTGTGGTTAGCGTCTATTTGCCACACTTTGAATCTGCACTAAAGCTGCTTGAGCTGATCGAGAAAGAGAGTAATTCATTGGACAATTTGGTGGATATCAATTCAACCCCCATTGAGGTGCTGTATCAATGCTGTCGTAAGCACAGCAACTGGAAGGAACAGGATTTGACACGAGCTACGTCACCTTTTCGTCTAACAGCCGATCTACATATTTCACCGGCGCAATTCGAATGGACTGCTTTGAATGAGCGCGCAAATGCGCAGGCCTATGCTGATTTGGAAAGTGTATTCGAACGTGTGCCTGCTTGGCTACCGCTGAAACAGAAGCAATTTCACATAAGCTTCTCATTAGAATTGGCAGTGTTGCGTCTATATGCGCTAAAAGCGCCCACAAGTGTGCTGTATATGTTCCTATCGAAGATGAGTAATACCAAGGAAAAATTGGAGCTAGCTAAGCGTGTTAAATGCGTGCGTGCCGTTGTCGATGCTTTAGCTGGCATGAAGGATTCAAATCAATTGACACAATTAAAGGACAGTTTGCCGGAGCGTTCCGAGGAGCAGTTCTATTGTGAAAAAGCGTTAAAAGCGCTGCAAACAAAACGTTGGACCACGGATAATATTAAGTTGAAATTATAGTGCCGCATCGGTTTGCGAAGCAATATTTATTTTTGTGTGATTTTAATCTCGGACATTTGCAAATGGTGTTAAAAAAATTATTCCTTGTGATAAGCTAAGAAGTGTAAATATATTTGAAAAGGTATGCACAACTATTTTTTACGAAATTCATTTTATTATTTAGGAAAAAACGTTTATTATTTTTTATTTATAATTCTTGATAGTTGTTACTATATTTTATGATGTTTATGGTATGTCTTTTGTCTGTACTTGTTTATTTGCAACTCCTTTGCTGAACTCCAACAGTTTCAAACGCATGTTTTTCTATTTTGTGTAACTGGAAATTTCCAAGATCACAAGCTGTCAACGTACAAAACCGTTGTGTTTATGGATGTTTACAGATTTGGGTATATATATATATTTTTGTTTTAATTTCTGTACTTATGACTGTATGACTGTGTTATTGTTTCAATTTGAATTTTTATACATTATTTTATATGCAAATTATTTACTAAATGATCATTTGTGTAAAAAATTTAAAGCAGTTTCATTTTTGCAAAATATTTGAGGCAAAAAAATGTGAAATTTATACGTTGAAAAACGTTCACTTAAGCAATGCAAGTTTGACTATATAGTTACTACTAGTTTTTTATTCTTTCTCTTTTGTTTTATGTTTTAATTTATTATTTGCTAGGCGCGTGAAGCGTAAAGCACAAATCGCTAGACAAAGCTAACTTAGAAACTAACCTCAATTTTTAATTWAAAGTTGCATTTACCGATTGTTTTATTTACTTTTCACTAACGGTATATATTTAACTATGTGCTTCAGAAAGTAATTGGTTATTTATCTACTTGGTATTTATCTTTGAAATCACCTCAGATTTGAGTTTGTAAAATTGTGTATGTTGATAATATAATATTTACTGGGTGCCTTATACATGTCTATGTAGTTGTATGTATGTATAGTATATGCATTATTTAAATAGCGGAAGTAAAAAATGTGAAAAAAGAGCTTTTTGCACATAAAAAGTTGAAATTTAAACATGGAAGGAAAGTCTTTTCTTATGCAAAATTTGGAAATAAAATTTTACAGATAAATATGCTTGAAGATAACCTAAAAAGTTGAAACTTATTAGCAGAGAGGCTTCAGGTATCAGGCGTTCCATTGACAGGTTTGTTACTAAGAAATACTTGACAGGGCTGCGAATTTTGAATTAACAAAGAAATTGGATTAAAAATTAGATTCGAAATTGAAAGTTTAATTCTCAATTCAAAATATTGGGGTTAAAAATTACATTTATTTTGAACTAGAGCTTAAATTTTCAATAAACGTATTGAATTAATTTTTTTTTTTATTTTAGAAATTTTACGAGGTACGCAAGAAATATAAATTCTGAAGCAATTTCTTTTCGTTTTTAATTATTCTGGTTTTATATTTCAATCCCGTACCTGATATTTGCTTTTTCAATCCGGTTTTACAATTTTTTTAAWTTTTCAATTCCGTAATAAAGATTGTTTTCAATCCGATATTCGAGAGAATTTTTTATTTAATTTTTCAATCTCCTATTAGAGATAAAATTTTTTCCAATGCCTTAGTTGGGATTAAATTTATTTTCAATTCGTGTTTGGTATTAAAAATACGAAAATTATTTTTAATGAAAATTTTCGGAATTAAACAATTAAAAACAGTAATTCAAATTTTTACTCTGCTATTTTTTAATGCATTGTTTGCAACCCTATAAAAAAGACAAAGAACTAAACATATTTTTTAATAAAAAAATGCATATGAAAAAAGTTAAAAATAATTAAAAGATTACAGCAAAGACGAAAACTATGATTTAAAGCTTTATGTTAAAGGTGTGACTAAGTTCAGACAGTTGATTCAACCGGAACGGACCTAAATATGCCACGAACTGTCATGTCAAAAGTAAAASTGGCATTGATTTGCAATAAAAAATTTGTTAAATTATTATTTGTATTAAAAAAGTGCTTTCCATCCAAACTAAAATTAGTTAAATTTACGTTTACATTTTGACGTTTGAAAGGAACTTTCATGGGCAATACGGGGTGTTTAAGGGTCAAATGAGACAAAAAAAATAAACTCAACGCAAACACAGCAATAATGCATATAATTTATGAGGTATAAACGAATATATATATATATAAAGTTATATTACATTTTCTCGTTAACACAAATATATATATATATACATAAGATGTAAATTTGAATACAATAAAAAACGACAAACGAACTAAGAAAAAATTAAAATTATAATAATAAAATAAAATAAACAACTCATATCACGAATCAATAAATTAAAAACAAGTTAAACTAATGGTGCTAAGCACCAGCAACTAATTGTTGCAGTGCTGCATCAGCCTCTGGCAAACGATTGTTTTGAACTTAACACTTAGGCTATCGAATATCACATCCGTGTCGTTCAGCTTGTGTTGCACCCGCTCGTCGTCGTTTTGATTTTGATTTAGTTGCGACTCCTCCTGCGCAAAGTAGCTCTTGAATTTCTCATTTAAGTTACGCTCCAGCATGGTGTTGTTGTTGTTGAAGAACAGTACATACGACAACTCAAGCAAATAATAATCGAGATCGCCCAAAAAGAAACGTTCACACTCGAGCATATCGAACTTCTGCGCCATGAAATGTTTCAACAAATAGTAAATTAAGTACTTCACGTCCTGGCGACGCAGCGGCACTGAGCCGGTGTCTTTGGAGAAGTATGCGAAAATTTTCAACGCCTTGCTGGCACTATTGCAATTCTGCAAACACAACACGAAAGCATCGACGAACTTGAAATTCAACATAAGCGTACGTATACGATACTCCAGACGTTCCTTAGCGAAGTCGCACACCCTGTCTGGGTTGTAGAGACCGTGAAATACATAGAGGCAATAGTGTATGTACTGACGCAACTGTTGCAGATTCGCATCATCCTCTACAGTCTCCTCAGCGTCCACGGGCGCATTCGAAGTGAGCGTACTCTGTGAGCCGGCCGCTTGTGTTGGTGTCTGTGCGTCGTCGTTCGCATCGTGCTTTGCCGTTGCAACTAGTGGGCATTGCTCGGCACTCTGCTGACCRKCCACACAAACACCGCTGACATCGGAATTTTCTGTGACAGCCAGTCGCGCGTAACTCTGCTCATCGGGCGTTAAATCATCCACAGCAGCGCTGTGCTGCGCATCATCCGCAGTGGTCGCGGCAAGTGGCAACGCGCCCGCTGCACCTGAGGATGGCAGCAATGAGAAGTTCAATGAACAACCGTCGTTCGCTTCATTGTTACTTAAATTCTCTAAGCTTGAGATCATGTCGTCCGAGTCTTGGCCGGTKACCACATTTTCGCTACTGTCCGCTTGCGTTGTCGACTTGTACTGATTCGACGGTGAAGGCCGTTCAAAATTGAGCGCATTGTCGAAATTTATGCCGGCCTCTAGCATGAATTGTGGTTGGTATTTTGGTATGCTCTTCAAATAGCGCACCGGTTCGGATTCCAAACGTATACGTGGGCGTGGCAAATTGATTTCCACCGGCACATCAACACACTGACTTTCAAAGCGCATAAGTCGCTTGGTGGTGGGCAAACAGACCACACGTTGTTTCATCTTGTCGATGGAAGGTCCGAGATCGCGACCACACTGTAAAGCGAAAAGTAGTTTTATAGGTTATAGAAGAAATACAAGGAACGAATACTTTTTGACGAAAGATGGATGGATTTAAAGYTGTCATACCTGTCCATTGGAGTTGCCTCCAAACGCTTTGACCATAAACTCGGTGGTCATGACGAGCGTGAAATCTGCGCCACAATCCACATACATGGGACGGTCGACACAATCGACGGGTGAGGGTTTGCTGACGGCACGCCGCTCCTTATCGCCAGTACCCAATTGGTGCTCCAAATTTTTGCCCCAAGTGTACAGGGTGCAAGTGGACGAGATCAAGGCAAAATGGAAGAGTCCGCTTGAGATCTGTAAGACGATATTCAGTCAGCAACCATGAAACCCTGCCATASCAGTATAGAAAAAAATTACTCAGTTACCTGCAAAATTTGACCGGCTACCTCGGTGGTGTCCACCAAATGTGGAGTCATGTGCTCACATGGATCGCCATCGGTCGGAACATTTGTTGCTGTGGTCGTTGATGTTGGAGGTGGCGCCGTGACAGCTATTGTTGGCGCTGGTGTGTCAGTGTGCTTTGCCGCTAATTCTTCGGTCGCAKKTTTCGAAGAGTTTAATGGTTTGAGCGGTTGTGCGACCATTGGCTTAACTTCCTCGACAAACTCCTCCACCACTTCATTCATCAACTGTATGGTTACTTCGGTTTCGGCGTTAGCAATGCCTTCTACAATTATTTCCTTCAAGCTCTCCTCTTTCAGTTCGTCAACCTCCTCCTGCTCGGCCGTCACTGTGGTGGCTAAAACTTCAATGAGCTCGGGTTCTTTAAAGGCGCTGCCTGTAGTCGATTCGGACGCCGCCTCGGTSTCCCGAGTATTATCAGTGTTGCTGGCGCTTGACGTTACATTTTCGTCCATTATATCCGTAAGTATGCTGCTGGCGACCTCAGCGACCAGGGATTTTGGCGCTTCGGCATATGCACTTTTGGACGTGGACGGTGCGCAAGGTACGCTGGCATTCTCACCGGGCAATGTAGCCTCGAATTGTTTGCTCATTTCACGACGTTGATGTTCCTCCATTTTTTGCTTTGCATTTGCACGTCGCTTAATCTGATTAGCTAAGCGCARTGCTTGCGGTGAGGAGCCCCACGTGTACATGCGTCCATTCTCATCAACAGCTAACTGCAATTAATGCGTGGAAATGCTTCAAAAGTGGATAAAAGAGTCGTAAAGTCAGCGAGCTTACGTTAGAAAAAAATTTGGTATGTATCAGTCTTATTCTTTCGTCGCACACGAACAGTTTAATGGGCACTAAACTCTTCACTTGACTAGCACAATGCATTTCGTCGTCAGCCGAAGTGTTGCTCTGCCCTTCCRCACCGCTAGGACCAGAGCCAATACCCAGCTGACCAAAATGATTGGAACCAAACACATATAATTCAGTGGCATTCGGATTGTTGGGCGTCTGACAGAGCACCACGCTGTGCGCATGCCCCAAGGATACTTGGAGTACTTTCTGCGAATATGAAAATGTAATTT